CGAGCGCTTTATCGCAAGCGGGGCGCGGGGGGGCTCGATTGGCGTCGAAGTCACTATGGCAACGGGCAGCAGGGAGAGGCGTGGGGTGGGGAGGTGGGGGGAGAGCGCTTGGAGCGTGAGCAGTGCTTAAGTTAGCGTATTACAGGTCAAATCACAGAGTACGAGTTGATAAATCTGGTTATATGCGCGGATCTCACAAACAGGGCATCATTAATGTAGGGTAAGGTTACTACTGTAAGCTATAAATTGTAAGAGAAGAATAGTGCGGCTAGTCTCCGAATCAGAGGCTGGCCGTCCTATTCGAGTGGGGATCTGCTTTTTATTTTTGGGCACCAGCAGAGTTAAATTTCTGCACAGATCCAACTAATTTGCCTCGAATCAGTCTTATAATCTAATAGGTAGTGAATGCGTAAATCAGCCAGAGATATCCAAGACTTGACAACATGACTCTGATATGATTGAGTTAAAAGTAAAGGGGTTTTATTGACTACAAAAATTGAAGATAGAAAATATAACGAAGGGGATTTCTGGTCACATTAAACAGAAGTTGTATACATCTCATTCGAAACACACATGTAACACAGGAACAGTCTTACTTTGGGCCGTTCAAGGGAGATGCTGATGAAAAGAGGAGGATGGAGAATGGAGATGAAGGATGAGGATGAAGAATAGGATGGAGGCGATGTTCTCGTCCACGTGGTCTTTGTTCGAACAGGGAGCAGGAGGAAGCCAGCAAATCGGATCCAGGCGTGGGTTCCACACACAACACGGTCTAGAATAGCGTTGCGGTGGGGTGTTCCAGGGAGCCCGAAAGTGGCTGGCGATGGAAGGTCCTTGTCTCCGACAGCGAGAGTGACTGCTGTCCCCGTGGATGTACAGGCCCGAGATGGTGGCGGGCGTAGGTCGTGTAGGAGACACGTACCGAAAAGGAGAGTTGCGATAGTGATTTCGGGAAAACCAAGAGGCAGTCTGTGGGTCCGCAGACTGGTTTTGTTGTGGTCAAAGTGGGCGCGTCCGTGACGTCATCCATGTGCGACAACCCTCTGAGCCGGCATGTTCACACAGGCGAAACACAACACATATAGACATTCTATCGTTCATAATCATATACCGATACACAGTGCATTCACATCACAGACAACGCCACATACGAGTAGTGTCCGTAACGGTTATCAACATAATGTCATCGGGGAATGTCCGTTTCGAGTGTCCGCCTCGGGTGTGATGGTGTCCGGTATCCACTGGGGGGCGCCATAACGCCGTGGGTGAGTCGTTGATTGTCCAGGGACAGGAAGGTCCCGGGAGTGAGAGCAGAGTTGTGATCTTTGATCTCTACAGGCAGGCAGAGACAGAGATGTTTATTCCCGTGGTGACTTTATTGCTCTGTTTGACGCCTGTAATCCCCATGATCAATGGCAGTCCTCCGGTTGACCTCGCTGTTCCTTTGAAGCAGCAGTGGGATGTCTCCCTCCTTTTGGTCGAATGTTTACACAGTCCAGGGCCTGGCTCTGTTGTCCGGCCCTGTCCCTTATTTAACCTTACACTATCCATCCATCTATCCATCTGGAACATTACGACCGCAATCTCGTTCTTTCGGTCATTACCCAAAGCTCATGACCATAGGTGAGGGAGGGAACGAAGATTGACCGGTAAATCGAGAGCTTTGCCTTTCGGCTCAGCTCCCTCTTTACCACAACGGTCCGATACAGCGACCGCATCACTGCGCTCGCTGCACCGATCCGCCTGTCAATCTCACGCTCCATTCGTCCCTCACTCGTGCACAAGACCCCGAGATACTTGAACTCCTCCACTTGAGGAAGGACCACTCCACCCACCTGGAGAGGGCAATGCACCTTTTTCCGGTCGAGCACCATGACCTCGGATTTGGAGGCACTGATTCCCATCCCAGAGATTTAATGCATGTTTCCAATTATACAAAGAGTTTTGGTCCAAAACTAAATAATCTTACTATTATTATTTTCTGTCATTATTTATTCATTTATTCATTTTTTATGTTATTAAAAGGATAACAAAATATATTATTATTTAACAGCATTCTTTTTGCCCAAAGAAATAACAAATCCTCAATATTTACTCTCTGTATATAATTATTTTCTTCATATCCTAATTTTTGTTCTTATTAATTTATGTTCTGTTTTATTATTTTATGAAACATTATTCTTTCCTCGTATCTTTCAAAGCAGTGCAAATGAAGGGGCGAGCCACGGACAGCGAGACAAAAGCAGATGCTTCTTAAGAGACTAGTCTCCCTTTGTTACAGTGTATTGTTATGATCATTTTCACCTCAAAATCAGAATCATTTTTATTGCCTTGTAAGTAACAGGAAGTCACAGACTAGGAAATTGCCTTGGCCCTCGGTGCAACCAAGTCAAAAGTAGACAAAGAATAAGGCCTAATAAAACATTTCTATAGTAAAACATTTTCTAAAATATAAAAAGTAAAATTATTACTATTGTTATTAAGTGCACTCGGTGAACACAATATACACGCACAAGGTGACAGCAGTAAAGGGACTCTATAAAGCAGAGTAAAGTTGCTTTAAAAAGGGCAGTAAAGTGACTTTATAAAGGGCAGGGGGACAAGGTTATGAAGTGTTCAAGAGACCAACACATAAGGGAAGAAACTGTTCTTATGGCGGGAGGTTCTGGTCTGGATGGACTGTAGCCTCCTGCCTGAGGGGAGAGGTTGGAACAGTCCATGTTCAGGGTGAGAGGGCTCGGCCGTGTTACGTGTTACGACGAGCTCGTAACACGAGCATTAGTAAACATTGTTTGCCCATCTTTAACGCCCACTGCGAGTGCAGTGGATTTTGGGCATCAAACACCTTATTGTGGTCAGAGTGTGTGGAGGAAGAGGAGGAGATGGAGCGTATGTTGTCAGAGTGTGGAGGCATGGCAAAAACGTTATTTGATGAGAAATAAAATACAACAAATATTGACTCCGCCTCATAGCCATTTTGGCGCATTTCGCCGTAATCTAACTATTAGAAGAAGAAGAAGATTCCTTTTGGTTCAATCTTTTGAGTTGATATGCTATTTTGCCACATGACGAAAGAGCCATGTCAGCTAAAAAGACCGCGACCAATTTCGCAATTCCAAGCGCCGTAATAGTGTGTGTGTGTGTGTGTATGTGTGTGTCCGCGCCCGACGCTGCATCGGAGCGAGGACACGCGGCTGCGCGCGTGCTGTTTCTCTTCACGCACCGCGCAAGGCGGTGCTAAATTCTTGTCAAAGATTATAACAGGGAAAACTTCCCTCAGATCTGGGAAAAAAGTGCCAGGGCAGGGCCTCGCATTTCAAGTTCACACAGGGCCTCTCATCCCCTTTGCGACGGGCCTGCTGGCGTAGGATTCCGGGGAGTCCAGGTGCTGCTATAAACAGGTTTATAGCGTCATCTTGAGGTGGGGGAGAATGTCAGAGCCTCAGGTCTGTAGTCATCCATTCTTGGGGACGGGAACAATGACAGTGTATTTGTCACTCCTCTGTCCTCTGGGGGGAGTTAGGGCCGAGGCGTCCATGCACGGCGCCATCTTGTTTAATAACCTTTTTGCACATGTTTGCACAATTAAATTCCTTTTTCATCATATTCCTTTTCTTCTGTGTCTCCCCTATAATATATACAGTATTTGGGGTGCGGCTGAAGTCTATGATGCAGATAGACAGACGCGAAGCGAAAACTAGCAGGAACTAGAGCTAACAGAGATCCACATTTTCTCAGCTCTAGTATAAGTGTCTCTAGAGCTAACAGAGATCATGTGGAGGGTCACTGCAGCAGGAGCCGATCTCTGATGATATAAACTGCCCTTCAATTGCATTGCTATGCAAGACACAAGGACAGAAAAATGGATCATGAAATACTAAAACAGAACATAAAAAAACAAGGAAATAAATGAATGCAGACAGAAAATGAACCAAAGAAAGTTTTTTAAAGCTGCATTACCTGACTTTATTTTTAAATTCATTACAAATATGCAATCCATATCCATGCAATGCATTGGGATATACGTCCTTTTGAAGAAAAAGTAGCGCAGATTTGTGCTGGCGTGTCATTATATTTTAGATTGAGTTTTTGTGAAACAAGGAAGAGAATTTGTTTCGGGACCAGATTGTGACCAATCACACCGGACCACTGGCCCCCACTTTCTTGAGAAAAGCTACAGGTCTCTCGTTAGCACAGACAGCTGAGGTAAACAAGCAGCGGAGGCAAACCTGAAACTTGCCGTGTCTTCATTACCGGTAACTGCTTACACAGCAAAACAGACATTCAAAAGAAAGTCTCGTTCCTCCGCGCTTCCCTGTTCTATCATTCTATGGTCCTGCCATGGTCAGTGGGGGGCGATAGCTTCGTGAGTGCGGGGAGGGCGAGCAGAAGAAATTTTCATAAAGTAAAATTAAATTTAAATGAATAATATTAATTAAATATCATCATCATTTGTCGTGTTATCTCAATAAATATTTGTTTATTAATTTATTTATTAATTATCTTGGCTCCTCCATATGGTTCCTCCTTAGTATGCAAAAGAAAAAATGTTTTCACTAGAATTACTGACCGAACCATACACAAATATTAGAAATACACATAGACATATTGTGGCAAATTAGTTTTTTTATCTGATGTATTTGAAATCCCTGATATAGATCGAAGACAAATAAGGTCTGCAATAATATTTGCTTTGGTGCTTATCTTGTCGTTGGTGGTTTGACAGCTTCTTTGCATTGGCTCTCAAAATCCAGGATATGGTCATGTGACGCGCTGCTCACATCATGACCCTAGTGTCAAAGCGCTCTATGCTTTTCCTGAATGCACTTCTTGCCAGTCCCCTGCCTTTATCTCTCTCCATTACAATGAGTAGATGCTCTGTGAATGAGTCTCCGCAATTGAGTGACTGAGGCTTAATATCAAAGCCACAGTCTCTTAATCACCAATTATCACGGACAGCACTATCTTTGGAACAATCCTCATGTGAAATGAACAATCACTTACAGTTTCATGCTGTAGTAGCAGGTGCCTTCCATGTGAGTGAGCCGGGTGTGGTCATTCGGATAAACGTAGGACAAGTGAACCTGAAAAAGCACACATTCTTACACAAGCTTTTTCAATGCTGGTGCCCAAAGTGAGAACTAAACATGGGGAGGCTGCATTTCAGATTTATGTAGCTAAAATCTGGAACAGTCTCCCTGAAAATGTGAGAGAGGTGTCTACAATGTTCAAATCCAGGTTAAAGACTGTTCTGTTTGCCTGTGCATACAACTGAAGGATTTTATCTCCATGTTTAATGCACTGTGGTTATTTATATATTTTTTAATTCCTGTAATTTTGAAGTTTTAATGGTTTCAATTTGTTGTGTAATTTTAATGTTTTAATTGTGATTCTGGTGTTTGTTTTTTGTGATGATTTGTGCTTGGGTGATGTGGACTGTGAAGCGCTTTGTGTTTCCCTGTGTAGGAAAGGCGCTCTACAAATAAACTTTGATTGATTGATTGAATACTAGCATACGCTTGGGATTGTGAGGCAAGCACGTACGTATCTGAGTCCTTGGTAGCGTCCTATGGTGCTGCCTTTGAGGGTGTAGCTGGGGCTGTATGTGCAGTTTGGAAATAGACCGCTCAGAAGGCTCTGGGCTGTGGGAGGCACTGTAAACATGCAACAACAGCAAGGGGCACAGTCAAGTTTAAAATAATACACATTTGCATTTATTTGTTTGAAATAGTGTCACGTGATGAAGTGAAAGAGGACTCAAAACGCAGGAATGCAAAACTAATAATGAAGGAATGATGCAAAAATCAAACAAAAAAATCCAGATTAAAACAGGAACCAGGAACCAGGAACATGGACATAGACAAACAAAGACAATGGAACAGCCATAGGGGCAGAGGAGCACTATCAACGCATGGGAACAGGAAGTCAAACAGTAAGGTTTAAAACAAAACCACAGAACTGAAGTTATAGTAGCGATATGTAATATTTGCATGTCATGTAATCATAAAATGGCCCCAATATGTCAAAAGGCATAATTACATCATGCTATTTTCGAATACTTCTTTAAATGTTAAAGTACTTCAGCCGAGATATTTTAATTTCAGAAATAGTCTTACAGCCGTGAATCTTGTTATTGTTTTCATTTCGAAAACAATAACAATAATAACAAGGGGGGGGTAGTCAGAACTACACCCAGTACACATGGCACCAGCCCCAAAACCAAGTACAAAAATAAGAAAGGATGGAGCTGAAGCCTGGTTGTGACTGTAAGGCTCATAATTTTAAAGATATATATACTAAAAGTGGTTAAAAACAGCTAAAATATAATTCACAAAATTCATACGTATTTTCAGTCGTTAAAACCAGACACCCTACTATTTTTTAAATAGTAAACTGTTCATATGGATAAACGTGCAGCTAACTGTATTATGCAATACTTCGACGCGCCACAAGGGGGCGCATGAGCAACATTAGATAGGAGAAAGGACAGAACGGCAGAATAAACCCTGCCGTTGATGAGACAAGACGAACTCATTTGGTCTCCTGTTTTCCTTTCTCAGGGTTTACAATTCTCACCCCTCTTGGGCTCAAGAGGGGCAACATTTTGGGGGCTCGTCCGGGATGATTTCTGTGTGAGAAAGTACAGCAAATCGTCAAACATTTAATCTATACGGAGATACCACTACAGCAGAGATGTCAACTCGTCGCGACATGCAGCGCAGCATTCAAAAGAAGCTGCACCAGCTAATAAACTCTGCAGAGGAGGGCATGCTACGGCAGTTAGCAGCCAGCATCAAGGAGGAGGTGGAAGAGGAACCAGGAGACGATGCATCCGCAGTCGAGCTCTATGACTTCATCATGGAATTTGTGAGAAGCGACAAATTGATGAGTCTGGAGGACGAGGGCATGTCCAGTCTGTTAATTCTCAACGACCTCATACTAGAGCTGCAGCAACAACCGAAAGCCAACGAAGCAGAGCCAATACAGTCAGCAGAGGAGACAGCTGAACCTCAAGTGGGAGCCACAATGATTCAAATGGACAGTCAACAATCCATCAGTAGTCAGGGCTCTGACATTGTAAAGTAATCAGATGTTGCTGCTTTACTTCCCCGACGAGAATTTAAAGTTCACAGTGGACAAATATCTGACATAGAGTCTGACGTCAGCTATGGTGCACTTTGCAAACAGATTGATGAAGGTTTAGCTGAAAACTTTACTGAAAACGAGATTATCCGTGCTGTGCTAAGAATTATCAAACCCGGTGCATTCAAAGACATGCTTGTGACAAAACATGAGCTAACTGTAGTTGAGCTTAAGCGCTTCGTCAGAACACACTTAAAAGACAAGAGTAGCTCAGAGTTATTTCAGGAGCTCAGTACGGCCAAGCAGCTTGATCGTGAAAACCCACAACAGTTTATGTATCGATTAATGGGATTAAAACAGCGTGTTGTTTTTTCTTCACAGCAAAATAGCTCAGGATTTCAGTATGATAAAAAACTAGTCCAAGGTGTGTTTCTTCACTCACTCTTCCAAGGGATAAGTGAAAAATATGCATACGTTAGGAGAGATTTAAAAGGAATAATCAGCAATAGCCGTGTAACAGATGATTACATTCTAGAGGTAATGACTAAATCTGTTCAGGAGGAAGTAGAGAGACAATCACGCATAGGCCAAACACACAGGACCAAGATAGCCACTGTCAATGCCGCACACCCTGGTGAAAAAGACCAAATAGTCCAGCCAGCAGTCGAAGTGAAAGCTACAGTTCTACAGACCCAAGCAGAGGTGCAAGCCCAGCGCACAGCTATCCATGAACTGACCGCCCAGGTTTCAGCATTAACTAAAACCCTGGAAAAAGATTTTCCACCCACAGCTAGAGGACCAGAGCCAATACAGACACAAAAGACGACCAAACCTCCCAGATGCCAAGCCTGCATCACTCAAGGACTGGATCGTTGCCATCACTGTTTTAAGTGTGGACAAGAGGGACACAGAGCTGTTGGGTGCCTACTCAAATACAAGACATCGGGAAACGTGAAGAGGTCACTGGAGAGGGACCACCAGTGATCGTGACCACACCCAGACCAGCGTCCCACATGAAAGAACACCAAGAAAAGATTTTTCTCAGGGTCCACTCACGTATGAAAACTCAAAGAAGACCGGGAAGCAGAGTAGCCAAACTTATTGGTAAAAGATGTACACTTGAATGTTATCTTAATGGTGTTCGGACAGACATGCTCTTAGACAGCGGGGCACAAGTAACCATAGTAACCAAATCTTGGCTAAATAGTAACCTACCAGACATTCAGATTCTGTCCCTCGACGATCTTTTACCTGATAATCCTCTTAGAGTTCCAGCAGCTAATGGGACTAATGTACCGTTTGATGGATGGGTTGAACTGCTTGTTGAAATCAAAAGTCCTGACCATGGTGAAGTAGCCATTAAGGTACCGGTTTTAGTCAGTCAGAGCTGCGTTAGTGGACTTCTTTTAGGCTTCAATGTAATCGAGGAGATAATCTTGGAAAGTCTTGAAAGACCAGGTAGTGTTAACTTGAGTGATTTACTAGCCGAAGCATTAAAATTACAGAGACACACAGCAGAGACTATAGTATCTGTGATAAGAGGGAATACAGACAGAGACAACCTGATAAATGGTACTGTCAGAGTGGGAAAAAAGGGGTGACTATTCATAGTGGCCATACTGGTGAGATAAGGTGTCACATAAAGTGTAGACCACTGTGTGACACAGTCTTATTTGAACCTATATTGGAACCAGCCATGCCAGAAGGTTTACAGTTGTTTCCTGCCTTAGTTAATGCACCTCATAGGGCATCCAAAGCTATTAGTATACCAGTCAGTAACCAAAGTAAGCATGACATTTTTCTGCCAGCAAGAATTATGTTGGGTCACATTGAGGAGATTACAGAGTGCAGGCCAGTAAATATTGGTTCAGCTGTAGACATGGGGACCTGTGCATGTGCAACTCAGGTGAATTCAACTAGCGACATAGAAGCCAGTACAGAACAGTCTAATGCCAAGGAAAAGTGGCATCCCCCTGTTAACTTAGAGCACCTGGATCCAGAACAGCAGAGGTTAGTGCGTCAAATGCTTTATGAGGAATCAGACATCTTTATTAGGGGGGAAGGGGACATAGGTTTGATCCCAGAGCTACAGTTAAAGATTAGTTTAGTGGATAAGATCCCAGTCCAGAAATCCTACAACTCCATCCCTAAACCTCTATATAAAGAAGTAAAGGATTATGTACAAAATCTTCTGGACCGAGGATGGATTCGCAAGTCAACATCTTCCTACTCTTCACCAGTAGTGTGCATGCGAAAGAAAGACCAAAGTCTTCGGCTCTGTGTTGATTTCAGAGGACTTAACAAAAAGACTATTGCAGATCGACACCCATTACCTCGCATACAGGACTTATTGGACAGTTTGGGTGGTCACTCATGGTTCTCCATCTTAGATCAAGGGAGTGCATATCACCAAGGATTTGTCAGTGAAGAGTCTCGTCACCTCACAGCTTTCAGCACTCCGTGGGGACTTTATGAATGGATAAGAATACCATTCGGACTGACAAACGCACCTGCAGCATTTCGGAGATGTATTGAGGGAGTGCTGGAGGGTGTTCGTGACGAATGCTGTGCTCCATATCTCGACGATGTCTTGTGCTACTCAAAGACATTTGAGGACCATGTAAATCACCTAAAACAAGTTCTGTGGCGCATGAGAGAACATGGAATCAAGTTGAGACCCGCTAAATGTGAAATGTTCAAAAGAGAGGTTCGTTATCTTGGACGCTTAGTGTCTGGAGACGGAGTTAAGATGGACCCACAGGACTTGAATGCTGTCTTGGCACTTAGAGACAGAGAGCCACAAACTGTAGGGGATGTCAAGTCACTCTTAGGCTTCCTAGGTTACTATCGCTCCTTCATCCAAGATTTTTCCCGTGTAGCCAAACCACTATTTGAGTTGCTGCAGAAACCGAACCCAGACACGAATCATAGTCAGAACAAGACACAAACAATGAAAGGTAAATACAGGAATGGAGCTAAGGGACAGTTACCTTCTAAAACACACATAACATGGACCGAAGAACACAAAAGGGTGGTAGCTAAACTTATAGAGATTCTGGTAAATCCCCCCGTCCTTGCTTACCCAAACTTTGACCTTCCATTCATTCTTCATACCGATGCATCTAATGAAGGGTTAGGTGCAGTGTTATACCAAAGGCAGAACAGCAAACTTCGTGTTATTGGTTATGGGTCAAGAACGTTAACACCGGCTGAGAGAAATTACCATCTTCACTCAGGCAAACTCGAGTTTTTGGCGTTAAAGTGGGCCGTATGTGACAAATTTAGAGATTATCTGTATTATGCACCCACATTTACAGTCTATACAGATAACAACCCTCTAACATATGTTCTTAGCACTGCAAGACTTAACGCTGTGGGGCACAGATGGGTGGGAAAGTTAGCGGATTTTCATTTTGATGTGAAATACAGGCCAGGAAAAATGAATAGTGATGCTGACACATTGTCCCGTTACCCTTTAGAACTACAGAAAAGTATGAATGACCACATAGGCAGCATCCCAGCAGACATGGTGACAGCGGTGTGGCAAGGCAGCAAAGCAGTTCAAGAAGACAACGTGCCTTCAGCCGCAGCTCTACAAGTGGATGATACCTACACCGGCACCGAGTCACAAGGGAATGTGCAAGGCTTCGAACCAGTCGATTTGGAAAACATTTGGATTCCAAATGAGAAAGACAGAAAAAACATGACAAAAGAGACAAGGAGATTGCTTTACGAATGGACAAAGCTAGAAGTGGAGAATGGAATACTTTACAGGAAGACAGATAGACACAAACAGCTGGTGGTTCCTGAAAATTTGAAAATCATAATCTTGAAGTCACTACATAATGACATGAGTCATCTAGGTGCTGAAAAGGTCACTCATCTGGCGAGGGAACGGTTTTATTGGCCGAACATGCAACAGGAGATAGAGGACTATGTTAACAAGAAATGCTCCTGTATCAAGCAAAAACGGCCAACTTTTCCTCAACGAGCACCGATGGGACACATTTCCACAAGTAGCCCTTTTGAACTTTTGTCCATTGATTATCTCCACTTGGAGCCAAGCCAAGGCTATGAGTACATACTGGTACTTGTTGATCACTTTACAAGATTAGCGCAAGCTTACCCGACACGAAACAAGTCAGGAAAAACTGCTGCGGACAAGATCTTTCATGATTTTATTCCTTGTTTTGGTTACCCTGACAAAATCCATCATGACCAAGGAAAGGAATTTGAGAACAGTTTGTTTAACAGGCTTGAGCATTTAGCAGGTATTGGACACTCTCAGACTACACCCTACCACCCACAGTGTAATCCGGTGGAGAGACTGAACCGCACAATATTGCAGATGCTGCGCACGTTGGAGGACGAGAAAAAAAGTAAATGGAAAGACCACCTCAACCATGTATTACATGCGTATAATTGTGCAAGGCATGAATCCACTGGTTTCTCTCAATTTTTTCTGTTATATGGACGACATCCACGCTTACCTATAGACTTTTTCCTTCTCAGAAAGACACAGATACAAATGACAGACAGGCATATGCACAGAAATGGGCAGAGAGGATGCGGACTGCTTATGACATTGCTGAAAGAAATAGCGAAAAGTCCTCGGCCAAAGGAAAAAAACAATATGACAAATCGGTCAGGGGTGTAGTTCTCCAGCCAGGGGACAGAGTGTTAGTCAGGAACCTATCAGAGAGGGGGGCCTGGCAAGCTACGCTCGTACTGGGAACAGGTAGTGCACAGGGTAGTGGAAAGACTTGATGATGGACCTGTGGACAAGGTGCGAGCAGAAAAGGGCTCCAATACGCTGCGTGTGCTCCACAGAAACTTGCTGCTTCCTGTCAACGACCTACCTATTGAGGTGGACATTTCAGCTTTTAGTCCAAAGAAAAAAAAATGCGAACAACAAACTAAAATCAAGATGCTTGAAAACACCAAAGAGACCTCTGATTCAGAGGAGGAAAACTACACATATACAAGTGTTCCTTGCTACAGACTCATAAGGAGAGGGCAGTCTGAGCAAAGCCATCCAACTGATGAGAGACTAAATGCTACTGCTCGAGAATTCCATTCGACACTGCCACAAGACAAGCAGGTCCAAAGAGACGATACATTGCAGGTGATGGACAATGTACAAGACCCTGTTGATCCAGAACATCAAGTAGAGGAACAACCACGAGAGAGATCACCGGAAGAGCTGGTGCCACAAGAGGAGGAACATCCTGGGATCAGCCTCAGGAGATCCCAGCGGAACATCAGGACCAGAGAGATGTTTACCTATGATGCATTGGGACAACCAACTTATCACCAGTGGAATCCAGGAGTGAACTCTTTGATACCAGGTTATCCCATTACAAGCACTGTTGTCCTTCCTTATGTGGGCCAGCCATATTTATGTTATTCACAAGTGTATTGAACATGCTTTGTTGACAAATGTCAGGAGACATTTATTTAAGCAGGGGAGAGTGTAAGGCTCATAATTTTAAAGATATATATACTAAAAGTGGTTAAAAACAGCTAAAATATAATTCACAAAATTCATACGTATTTTCAGTCGTTAAAACCAGACACCCTACTATTTTTTAAATAGTAAACTGTTCATATGGATAAACGTGCAGCTAACTGTATTATGCAATACTTCGACACGCCACAAGGGGGCGCATGAGCAACATTAGATAGGAGAAAGGACAGAACGGCAGAATAAACCCTGCCGTTGATGAGACAAGACGAACTCATTTGGTCTCCTGTTTTCCTTTCTCAGGGTTTACAATTCTCACCCCTCTTGGGCTCAAGAGGGGCAACATGACCTTCCATGCAGGGAACTGGCTCACCCCGGGCAGAGACATACTGTATATCCTGCGGTGACTCAGAGGGAAACAGAACCACCCCAAATGGAAATCATTGTGGCAATAGGGAAGGAGAAGTCATCGATGGGCAGCAGGCAGATACAGGTTCCAAACAGAGGGGAACATCCAGCGCAGGACTCCACTGAGTACCTCTCTTAACTCATTCACTGCCATTGACGTCTATAGACGTCAATCGCTTTTTTTTTGTTTTTTTCTTTCTATGGCTCGTCAAGGCTCTTGTGCATCCTGTGTCAACATTTCAGACCTGTAAACACTTTGGAACCGATCCTGTAGGGGGCAGAGGTGACACTGTGGCCAGATCCAGGGAGGGAGAAGGGGGCATGTGGTGCTGTGAGCAGCGAACAGCCAGAGGAGCAGCCATGCTTACACAGAGGATCGCGGATCTGAAAAGCTCACGCAGCTAACGCTGTTTGAGAGCCTGTTCAGTCATCAAACGGATAAATATGAAGCAGCTAGATGCCACGATGCTAGTTCTTCAGGTTTTAGTTAACATGAGACTCCAGGATCCTCGGAGGCTTCTCCCTCCCTCCTCGTCCAGCAGCAGCGGCAGCAGCAGCGGCTCCTCCCCCCGTCGTAATCTGGTGAGTTGCTTTTCACTTCAACATGTTGCATTAACGAGTTTATTTCTCCCCTTTGTCTAATGTACTATCAGCCCCTCCAGGATTTGCGCGCAATTGTTGATTGATGAATGATTATTGCAGGGTAAAATGCTTGATTACGCGGGACATTTTTCCAAAAGTTTCCCTCTTGAGTTTGGAGGCGTGTGAGTCTGGCATGCAGCATTAGCTGCCAGGGAGCTATGGATGATGTTACCGTGTGGTTTATAGAAGGGACAGGGTGAGGTGATCCATGGCAGACCGATGAGCAACAAGTGTTAGATTTACCGCACCATGTTGTGCATTCTGCTGTGGTGCGTCTCACTGTGGAGGGTGCGTCAGGAGCGCGCCCGCTGCTGCTTTGGAACAGGGGGAGAGAGACTCTCTCTGTTCCTCTGATCACAGAGTCTGCGTGATTTTGCGTTCAAACATTGAGAGATTCTGGAGGGAGTGACTATAGCAATCACTGCCTTATACTATAGTAAAAATAAACATAAAGTAACGTTTTTAGCGAATATTGAAGAGTTTTTTTTATCTCAATGTCATAGCTGCTGAAGCCAAAACACTTGTTATAATGTGAAAATGTATGGTGATTTTATATTTTCCTTTGTGTTGTAGATTGTTGACCCCAGGACCCCAAAATGCTGCAGCAGAGCTTGATTTGGATCAGCAGCTGACTTCTGCAGCTCTTCATAACTGATGAACTTCTGGATCCTGGATTTTGTTGTCAAACAGACAAAGCTGTATGCAGCACAATATTTCAGTGCACACACACAGCGTCTCCCATTCAGCAGAGAAAATGCATGGAAGCCCGTGACAGACTGCAGCTAAAAACCTTTTTTGGTTTGACATTTCTCTCTGGGTTTGTAAAAAAAAAAACCAACCTGGAAATGTATTCGGAGTGCAGATGAAGTAGATCCCACACTTCAGCAGAGTGTGGGGTCACCCAATTACTATTCTTTATAAACTAAAGTAAAATTGTTTCACAAAGTGTTCAGAAAGTGTTATTTTTACTGTGTATTTGTATACAAAGTGTTTTTATTGTATACAAGTTGAATATTTTATGTGTACATAAGACAATCCTTTGAGTGTATTGTGTGTACACGTTTAATTTGTTTAAAAATAATTATACATTAAAAATACAATTCAAAGTATTGTTTCTGTTTTGTGTCATAGTAAGAAACTGTCTTACATTGTAAAATATCAGTAAAGACAAAAAAACCCCACTTTTCTGCTTGAAAATGCGCGTTTCACAAAAAGGCTGTTTTCTCCAAATCTTGGTCAGGAAACAGCATTTTGTGTGAAAGTTACCTATGTTGCACTCTCAATTGCTAAAAAACTAAAAGGGTTAGAAACTTACTTTTTTTTTTAAATGTTTCACAAGTATGAAACATTTGGTATGTTTCATACTTGTGTCAACTAAGGGCTCACATTTCTATGCGGTTCGGAAAAACACTAAAAATGTCCAAAATCTCTGGCAGTATGAGGGATGCTGCTTTTTAAATGGCTGGCAGTGAATGAGTTCAGGGGGAGGGGAACAGAGGACCAACCCAGGCGGAGTATGATGCCCGGCAGTAGTGCGGGAATTATTGCCTGGCGGTTGTTGCAGGTGCAGGTAGGGAGTGAAGTGAAGGAATTTGGCAAAAATAAATAAAAACCTGATGCTGTAGTGATAAACTGGGAACAGGTGTGAGTGTGAATTGAAAAACAACTCAAAAGTCCCGTGGGATAAAAAACCTATTGTTTGCAACTTTGTAAACAATCCGAAAGAGCCATGAGCCAGAGTGAGCCAAGAGGATAATGGGAATAAAGGCTGTAGTTTCAAGTTTGTCTCAGTTTCAGTTGGTGCTGTGTGAATAGAGTTAGGAAACACTGACGTGGGGGTTTTGGGAATGTTTTTGCCTCCAGACTTTAAGCTGTAATTGACACGGTAACACAGCACCCGTTTGTTACAAATATATACTGTATCTTATACAATTTATGTGCCACATAACGGGTTTAGACACCCTAATCGCACTCTAAATATTGTAAGGCACGTTAACAATTACATTGCGTACATTTAATTTTTAGATAGCTGTATTATTTTATCCTGGTTTTTAAAGGTACACTGTGTAATTTTTACATCCATCTAGCATTGAGATCTTATATTTCAGTGCAAGGTACTATGGTAGCCTTTGATAGACAATACAGTGCCTTGCAAAAGTATTCAAAGCATTTTGTGTGTTTTGTTGCCTCACAATACATACATTAATTTACAGAATTATTAGTTACCTAATGTAATTGTAGTTCTACGAATAGGTGTGTAGCCCCTTAGCTTTAACAATTTGGCCCCTAGACACGTGCGTGTTACGTGGACGTGCGGGTCTTGCCTGTCTCCCCCGTCTCTTCCATGCCTCTCCCACGTCTCCCCCAAGTCTCACTGAATTAAAGTGCAGTTACCTAAATTTTCGCTTGCAGTGAAGATACATGTTATTTGTGCACAGAAGTAAAATGTTGTGACCAAATCAAACAGAACAAACCAAAACAGTCCTGTTTATTTTATTTTACTTACTTAAGAAAGAGCCCTGTGAGTCATCATTAGATTTTTTGGGCTGAGAGTGGATGTTTTTCAATAATTTTTCCACATAGTTAGTACCACTTAATTGCCAAACTCTTTTTGACTTATTTTATTGAGAAAGATGTGTTAGTCCCACATTATTATTGGTTGTTTTATTACCTTTCCTGTGTGGAAGTTTAATATTTATTTATTATTCTACTGAAGGATTATAATAATACACTACATTTCTATTTTTATTTATTTATTATAGTGTCAGCTCTCAAATTCTTTTGAAATTATGTTTCTATCTGCTAGAGGCCGAGATATCAATCATTCTGTAGACGTTGAATTTCAGCATTAAAAATAAGCAAGTTTAAAATCTCGATTAAGAACCGCGCGACAAATGAGTACCAAACACCATGTCCTCGTACTCATCTGAGTACCTCACTGAAAAAGTTATGTGCACCCCTGGCTATACTGTACCTCGTCTGGCTGTAGCTGCAGACACAGCAAAACAGCCCAAAAGACGCAACAGTGACGAAGAGAAGAGGGAACTAAAGCAACAAAAAAAGATCAAAGAAGAAATCAAGCTCAGGTGAACATAAATACAATAAAAATGAACATATTACCACGTTTTTGCTTTCTGTTTCAATGCATTCCGGTCTTGCTGCACAAAAAAACTTTAGATAAACTTATAACCACTTTTTTATGGGAAGGAAGAACTCCAAGAGTGAGGAAAACTTTATTACAAAAGCTGACATTCAGTGGGGGCCTTTCTTTACCCAATTTTTTATACTATTATTGGTCTGCACATATTCATAAATCAATTTATTGGCTTCAGTCACGGAATTTGCTTTGGTGCAGACTGGAACACCAATCCTGTACCTCTTCTTCACTTGATGCGCTTTTGACTTCTTCGATTCCACTTAACCCCTCTCGTTACACAAAGAACCCAGTGGTTTTATCCACATTGAAAGTGTGGTCTCAAAACCGAAGCCATTTCAAGTTTTTATCTGCATCAACAAAAATGCCTATCACAAACAATCACTTGTTTCCTCCCGGTCTCACGGATGCTGCCTTTAATCAATGGAAACAATCAGGCCTAAAGACTTATATAAAGATGGCTCATTTTCAAATTTCACCGACTTGTCCACTGTAAATAAGCTCCCTGCTTCTCATCTGTTTCTATATTTTTAGATACAACATTGTTCAAGTTCTTTATTTTCAGAATATCCTTCACTCCCAGATCCCCAACCATGGGAAGAATTATTATCCTTTAAACTACACCAAAAATCAATTATGTCAATAATATATAGACACCTTATGGAAATAGATGTGCACTCGACAGATAAGATTAGAAGAAGTTGGGAGTAGGAAATGGGTATCTCGTTCTCAGAACAACAATGGGAGAAAGCAATATCTATTGTCCGTTCAAGTACACCTTCCGTAAAATTGCAGCTCATTCAGTTTAAAGTGTTATATAGGGTTCACTATTCTAAATCATATCATTTGAGCCACATGTTCTTCTTATGCCCAAAACTACATAACTTCTGGAAGCAGTATGGGGACATACTTTCTAAGGCCCTTAAAATTAGAGTTGAAGTCAATCCTTTATTAGCCGTGTTTGGCCTTCCGATTAATTCAGTGCTGAGTGACCCTGCTCAATCCAAAATACTAGCCTTTGCATCACTCATAGCAAGGCGCAATATTTTGCTACTCTGGAAATCTGCTAATACTCCTTTAATTTCCCAATGGTTTTGTGATGTGTTAGGATTTCTTAAATTGGAAAAGATAAATATGGCAACCAAAGGTAATGAAGAAAAGTTTGAACAAAAGTGGAGTTCCTTTATTGATTATTGTAAATCATTAAGAACTCTGCTTCAGGGTTGACCACCCCCCCTCTTTCCTTATTATTTTTATCTGGTTTATTTATATTTTTTTGTTTTTTTCTTACTTCTTCATTATTATTATTGTTGATATTATTTTTTATTTTACTTTTATTAGCATTAGTTTCACTTATTGTTTATTTGGTACCCATTTTTTGTGTGTTTTTGAATGATTGAATGTTTGCTTATCTCACTATTTTATGCGTACGTATATATTCTAGATGTATGTATGTATATATGCGTATGTGTATATATCTTGTTCTGTTGTGCAGGAGTTCTGGGGGATAAAAGAAAAGAGCAAACATGTAATCTGTAAAATTGTATTACAAAAATATCAATCTTCAATAAACAAATAAAAAAAATAAAAAAAATAAGTGAAATTCTAAGCTCATGAAAAGAATTAAAAAACATGGTAGAGATAAATATTCTGAAAAACGGTCACATTTGTCATTAGTTAACGTTATTTCATATTGAGCAACTGTAAAAATTATGCAAGGTGGCTTTAATTCATTCATTGTAATAGAAACGGTTCACAAATTTGCACCCACCCACATTTTTAATCAACTTTCTCTCAACAGGTGCATTTTGCAAATTTGTGCAATCCCTATGCCATTTGAGGGATGTTTGAAGTCTGTGTGCTTTTGTATAATTTTTAGTATTTTAGTGAATGGTGTCTTACTTTTGAATGCACTGGAAAATGGCTGCAAGTCCTAACAGTAGCTTTGAAACAGTTGTTGTTTTGTGCTTTATAATTTTTATTTTTATTGCTTTTTTTTTCCCTGAGATGTTGCTGCAGGTTGCTCATGGTTTTACACTGGTCCAGACCAGAGCGGAGAGGATTCATGGTCCAAACCAAGCGGATCAAGTGAAAATCCACTGGAGGAATGCTAACTTTTTGAAAAAGGCTAATGAAGCAGTTAGCATTTTACATTTGACAAGAGAAGAGAAAATGGTTCAAACCAAGCAGCTACTCCACCTTGTGACCTGTCCTGCTCCACCCAGCAGCTACTCCATCTCTGCTGCTGTGACCCATCTTGCTCCACCCTGACGCTACTCCACCTCTGCTGCTGTGACCGTCCTGCTCCACCCAGAGGCTACATCACCTCTGCTGCTGTGACCCGTCCTGCTCCACGCTGACGCTACTCCACCTCTGCTGCTGTGACCCGTCCTGCTCCACCCAGAGGCTACTCCACCTCTGCAGCTGTGACCCGACCTGCTCCACCAAGTGACCACTCCAT